CAACAGCAAAATTTGGCACTTTCTGGTAAACCACTAATATGGTGAAAGACAAGGAAAGGAAACATGAGATCTGCTGACCGAACAGTTTGCTCTAGGAAGACATGGTACTACTTAGGCCAACAAAATAAACCTATTGATAACAAAATTCTATTTGTAAACACATATCCTTCCTGCTTAGTAAACGTACCTCAGCAATAAAAGTAGCGGATAGCCTAGCATTTGCGGGCTCATTTCTTTCTCCTCTGACAGGGCCCAGCACTGGTGAGTCGGTTTCAAGCAACAACTTATCCATGGGAACCGCTTCGATTAAGAAACGCTTCTGTAAGTGGTCAAAGTGCATGAGAAACTACTCATAACAAATGAATTCAACTAAAAAGAATTATTAGAAAAGAGTTCAAGTAAAGGTTTGGAATCCTATGTACTAAACTTACATGATCACCAGTAGTGAACGATGGAGGAATGGAGAAGAAGAATCCGGCTTCTATGCCACGCATAGCCTCTTCCAATGACCCATTGAAGGCATGCAGAGCGACCCTTTCGGCGCTATTTTCAATGAGAAAATCAACAGTGTCTCCACAAGCTGCTCGAGAATGGACGGTCCTGAATCAAATTATTTTAACTAAGACATACTGAGCTAAAATGTTCAATTTTTGGAACAAAAACCACATAACATACATGGGTAGATGGAATCGCTTTGCCCATTCTATCTGCTTAGCAAGAACTTCTTTCTGCACAACGATGTTCTCAGCTGTTATTTTGTAGTATTGTGTGTAATCCAAACCAATCTAAGGAATAGCGCTAGAGAAGATAAGTATCAAGTAAATTATCCTAAAGATATACTTCTCCTATGCATTTGATGACATCACGGTACTCGCCTAGGAAAGTTTCCATACCCTCCACGTCGGTAATCCTCACGGATTTATTCTTTTTCTGCAAAAGGGAAACAGTTGGATTGTGAAGTTCGTGGGAGATGTCTACCTTTGTAATTAAAAATTGTGACAGGGTTTGTATCGAAGTGTTTGTTTTAATTCAGAGATCAAATAAATTTCTACTGAATCTTTGTTTTGAAAACAAGTTTATGATAGGT